TCCATTCATTCATTCATTCATTCATCCATCCATCCATCCATTCATTCATTCATTCATTCATATTCATTCATTCATTCATTTCATTTCATTTCATTCATTCATTCATTTCACTCATTCATTCATTTCATTTCATTTCATTTCATTTCATTTCGTTTCATTTCATTTCATTCATTCATTCATTCATTTCATTCATTCATTCACTCATTCATTCATTCATTCATTTCATTTCATTCATTCATTTCATTTCATTTCATTCCTTCCTCCTCCATTCTTCATCAAATTCTTCTTCATTTCATTCACATTTCATTCATTTCATTCATTTCATTCCTTTCATTCATTCATTCATTTCATCATTCATGCATTGCATCATTCTATTCATCAAAAAATCATTCATTCATTCCATTCCTTCATTCCATTCATTCCTCTCATTCATTCATTTCATTCATTCATTCATTCATTCATTGCATTCTTCAATTCAATTCATTCAATTCATTCATTCATTCATTCCAAAATTCATTCATTCAATTTCATTCATGTCATCATTTCTTTCATTCCTTCCTTCCTTCCCTTCATGTCATTCATTCCTTCATTCATTCATTCATTTTCTTCATCATTCATTTCATGCATTTCACTTCCATTTCATTTCATGTCATTCATTTCATTCATTTTCATTTCATTCATTTTCATTTCATTCATGTTCATTTCATTCATGTTCATTTCATTCATGTTCATTTCATTCATTTTCATTTCATTCATTTTCATTTCATTCATTTTCATTTCATTCATTTTCATTTCATTCATTTTCATTTCATTCATTTTCATTTCATTCATTTTCATTTCATTCATTTTCATTTCATTCATTTTCATTTCATTTCATTCATTTCATTCATTTCATTCATTTCATTCATTTCATTCATTTCATTCATTTCATTCATTCATTCATTCATTCATTCGTTTCATTCATTTCATTCATTTCATTCATTTCATTCATTTCATTCATTTCATTCATTTCATTCATTTCATTCATTTCATTCATTTCATTCATTTCATTCATTCAGTCATTCATTCATTCATTCATTCATTCATTTCATCATTCATTCATTCATTCATTCATTTCATTCATTCATTCATTCATTCATTCATTTCATTTCATTCATTCATTCATTTCATTCATTTCATTCATTCATTCATTCATTCATTCATTTCATTTCATTTCATTTCATTTCATTTCAATCCATTCATCCATTCATTCATTCATTCATTTCATTTCATTTCATTTCATTTCATTTCATTTCATTTCAATCCATTCATTCATTCATTCATTCATTCCATTCCATTCCATTCCATTCCATTCCATTCATTCATTCATTCATTAATTCATTCATTTCATTCATTCATTCATTCATTCATTCATTCATTTCATTTCATTTCATTTCATTCATTCATTCATTCATTCATTCCTTCGTTCATTCATTCATTCATTCATTCATTTCATTCATTTCATTCATTCATTCATTCATTCATTCATTTCATTCATTCATTCATTCATTCATTCCATTCCATTCCATTCCATTCCATTCCATTCCATTCCATTCCATTCATTCATTCATTCATTCATTTCATTCATTCATTCATTCATTCACTCATTCACTCATTCATTCATTCATTCATTCCATTCATTCATTCATTCATTCATTTCATTCATTCATTCATTCATTCATTCATTCCATAAAATATATAGTTGAGAAGAACTTAGATGACATATGAGAAGAGGTGAGATGATGAGGTGAGAAGGGCTGAGATGATCTGGGATGAGGTGAGAATAGCTCATATGCAGCTTTTCTCCTAGCTCACCCGCCATGTCATCCCCCCAGCAGTCCGCATGGCGAAGCCGCGCAGCTTTGGAGGAACCATAGTCAGGGGCCTGTCATGGGCTTCGCGCCATTGGGTACGCATGGTACCCCAAAAAAGCGTTGCATAGCTTACATTAGTGACACTAGCATTTATTGTGTGAGTTTAAACATGAACCAAAGATTACCCTTGTTTTCTGGGAGACAAGCAAAAGACTCTGTTGAAATACGCTCCGCATAGCTTCGGCAAGAGAAGGGGTGAAGATGGAGAATCCCAAAAAGGTATTCAGATATGAGGCGCCGGATCATGCTCGGGCGAGGCCAACGCAAGCATAAGAACGGGGAAAATGGGAGACAAGCAGGAGACGAAGTAGGTCAAGAAGAGGAAGCGATGGAAGACGGCCTTACCATGTTGGAAGGTCTGCCTTGCTTAGGCAGGCTGTGAGCGGGGCAGAGGGAGGCGACCAATTCTGGGACAAACAGGGACAAACTGGGGACAAGAGGGAGACAGGGTCAATCATGTTGGAACAAGGCCCGTTTGGAAAATGAAAAGGGAGGCAAAGGGAGGCAAAGGGAGACAAGGAGGAACTTAAAACGAGAGACAATGTTGGAACAAGATCCATTTGTTGCAAGACTTGAAAACCCATTCAGCTGTGAGCTATTTGGACAAGAATGGGCCATCTGGATGAGTGACGAGTCTACGCTAAACTCACTCCAGATTTCAACTTCTTCCACCCACATTAACTTGAAGCATGCCAGCCAGACATCCACAGATTCACAGACCCATCCAGACATCACCTGGCCGACGCCAGCTGTGCTACCAGTTGTGCAGCGGTTTCAGCCCGTGGTCCACTTCTGGGGTCCCCAACTCCTCCATCTTTGAGCTCTCCTGCAGCTGTGGGATCATCTGTAGCAGCACCGATGTGAAGCTTCTGCGTCTCCGAGAGGCATTTGTTGATGACGTCCTGCGGAAGCGAGGATGAGAACTGCCCATCTGTGGGAGTGCCCGTGAAGCTTTCATGCGCAAGGACACAAACAGCACAAGATCATTCCTTCCGATCTATCTTGACAAGCCACGTCTACACCAAGAAAAGCCTAGAAGGCTGTTTACCATCTGCTTTTTGCTAAAATTGATTTGCGATAAGGTGAATAAACTTTCCATTTGCCGAGAATCCCGCGGTGTTTGCACCCAGGCAGCTCGACCCCATATCAACTTGGGGATGTCTCAAAAAAGAATCTTGAAACGACACAAATTTGGTGGGTACTGCGTCGTATCTTGTATCAATGTATCCGCCGACCCCAGCCAGCCAGCTGGGGAAGCGCGTCCAAGGAGAAGTGTTGCACCCGGGTCTGCCGGGTGCTGTTTTACTGTGGCAAGGGCGGCGTCTGCAAGCTGCTTTCTTCGCTTGACAATTCTTCTTCTATACGATCCAGAGGGCCACGTTAGAGATCCAGGTCTGTAGCTGGCAGGGCTGGCTGCGAGCTGCTTCCTTCGCTCGACAGCTCTTCTTCTATAGGATTCAGAAGGCCACGTTAGAGATTCAGGTAGGCTCCCAAAAGTATCTGAAACAATCTAGAAACAGTCTGAAGCCCTCTCTATCTATCCATCCGTCTATTTCTCTCTCTCTCTCTCTCTATCTATCTCTCTCTCTAAATATTTATATATATATATGTGTGTGTGTGTATTTATATATATATGGAATATATATATAGATATATAGAGATATATATATATAGAGAGAGAGAGAGTTATATACAGAGATATACATAGATATATAGATATAAATATAAATATAGATAAATACCAGTAGTACCGGCACGGGGCGGGGCGGAAGTTACCTTAGGGATATATAAGACCTTCCTCATCTATACTATAGAACTTGCATGATCCATCCGCGCATCGCCAGTGCGCGAAGCTCTACAGTGGGCGAAGACCTACAATAATTGCAGAGCTTCGCACGCCGGCGATGCCCTTTGGGTTGGAGTCGTTCTTGGCTGTCAAGCCCAGGAGCTTTTGTTGGCAGCAGAGGTTTAAATAGGGTATTGTAAGGCACCTCGGATGCGGAAAACAATGGTATTTACGTTGCTTTCTTCCACTGGTAGGAAAAACCAGTATTTGCGATGTTTTTGAAACATCACCCAGCAACAACACTAGTATTTACAACGTAGTTTCTATATACAAAAAGTGTAACAACACTGTATTTTACAAAGTTCTTGCTTCCCGAGCGCAAAACATCGCCAAAAATTTGCTTTAAAAACACACAAGACCGACTTGCTGAAGCATCTTATAATTTTTCCGTCTTTTCTTCCGGCCCCGGACCCCCAAAAACAGCAAATCCCCACATACTTGAAAGATTGCTGGGGAAGGTGGGCGGCAGGGGCACGCCCCCGGGTAGCTAAAGCTAGCTGCAGGCATTGCCAGATTAGTCTTGATAACTTGATAAATCCGGCGATGCGCTCACCATACGTTTGGCCAGAAACCCCAGCCTGCTGTGTGAGCCCGCGCCCGACCCCCCTCACTTTGGTGGTGTTTTCACGTTTTGGTGGTTGAAAAAGTTGTGCGTTTTCCATCAAACATGGCCCGCCGCCAAGGAATCCAAGGAAGGTTTGGAAGCTCCATTTTGGGCACTTTTGGCAATTTTTCCTGTTTTTTTTGGGCCCCAAAAGCCAAAAACACTGTGATTTACAGTGTTTCTGTCGCTTTGACATGGAAAAACGACTTCTTGCAACATGCTGAAAACTGCGTACATACCAGCGTTTTTGCTAGGCACTTGCCAAAATACACTGTAAATACCGTGATTTTTGCTACCAGAGGCAAACAACTTCGTAAATACCGTGTTTTTTGGCTTCCGAGGTGCAAAAAATGTATTTATGTTGTTTTTTGCTCTGAGATTCTCACAAAACGTGGAAACACCACCTATTTGACGATTTTTGGCCATGAGACTGAGAAAAACTGCAGGGGTAACAACCACCACAACCACAACCACGACCACGACCACAACAACAACAACAACAACAACAACAACAACAACAACAACAACAACAACAACCACAACCACAACCACAACCACAACCACAACCACAACCACAACCACAACCAAACCACAACCAACACCAACACCAACAACAACAACAACAACAACAACAACAACAACAACAACAACAACAACAACAACAAGAACAACAAGAACAACAAGAACAAGAAGATGAAGAAGAAGAAGGAACAAGGAACAAGGAACAAGGAACAAGGAACAAAGAACAAGGAACAAGGAACAAAGAACAAGGAACAAACAAAAACAAGGCCCCTGCTCCTCCACATACCCCCTTTTTTGTCTCTAATTCCTAGAAACAAAAACTGGGACCCCGTCGTTGTTACTTACCCCCCCCCACAACGACCGCGTCACGGTTGTGCCTCTGGTGGCCCGTTTTGGCCGGTGAGCGGCCCAAATCTTTCAAAACGGACCTTCCCCCCCTTCTTCTGCTTCTGCTCCTTTGGTTGTTCCTCTTTTGCCCGCTGGCCAGCTGGGTTGTCCAAGCACAGACTGCGCGGGAAACTCATCGTGCTATTTCTTGCCCGGCAGGCCGGACTCAGTTTGTGTTTTGGCCGGCCGGCCGGCTGGCTCCCTGGATGCTTCTGCGTTGGCTTCGTTTTTGGCTGGCCGACCGGCCGGCCGGCTGGCTGCTTAGTTGGCTGGCTGGCTGGCAGTGCCTCCTAGATGTTTTGGTGTTTGGCTAAGCTTTTGGCCGGCCGGCCGGCCGGCTGGCTGGCTGGCTCTGCTGGCTCGGCTGGTGGGCCTAGCTACTTGGTTACGGATATTAGTTGAGGTAAGCGCTAAATAGAATGTATAGGACATGTTAAAATTCTGTAAGCCGTAAGAAATCTCAAAAGAAATATGTGATAGTATGACCGTATGACCGCATACATGTTAGGCAGATAGCATATATGTTAGGTAGAATGTTGAAAATGGTAGACAGAGTACGTGATAAAACTAGAATATGTGTTAGAGAAAATATGCTAGATAGAATGTTAAATTGAAGGTCGGAATTTACTTGGCAGCTAGAATGTGAAAGCATTCTTCCCCAAACAGTGTGTCTACACTGAGGGTTTCTAACAGTAGATGCGAAGCTTGGTGCTTGATCAGGGTGCTCACTCTCTTCTGCGGTCTGTTACCTGTAAATTTTTGTATAAAGCGTCGCGTGTAGAATCTTGACATGCGTTTCGACTGCGCAGGCTCGCACAAAGTGTGTGTCCGCGTTCTGGGCTCAATCTGGGTTGCGGCAATTTTCCTGTAAATTTCCGTATGAAGTGGCTCTTGTGAAATCTTGACATGCGGTTCGACTGCGCAGGCTTGCATACCGTCTGCGCCGTGGTTCTGGGGCGCGCATTTTTCCTGAAAATTTTCGCATAAGGTGGCTCGTGTGAAATCTTGACATGCGTTTCGACTGCGCAGGCTCGCACAAAGTGTGTGTCCGCGTTCTGGGCTCAATCTGGGTTGCGGCATTTTTCCTGTAAATTTCCGTATGAAGTGGCTCCTGTGAAATCTTGACATGCGTTTCGACTGCGCAGGCTTGCATACCGTCTGCGCCGTGGTTCTGGGGCGCGCATTTTTCCTAGAAATTTTCGCATAAGGTGGCTCGTGTAAAATCTTGACATGCGTTTCGACTGCGCAGGCTCGCACAAAATGTGTGTTCACGTTCTGGGCTCATTCTGAGGTGCGGCATTTTTCCTGTAGATTTCTGTATGAAGTGGCTCTTGTGAAATGTTGCTCTGCAGTTCGATCTCGCAGGCTCGCACAAAGCATGGTCCGCGGGTTCGGTCTTTCAGGTTATTCATTTCCGTCATGTCAGTCATTTCAGTCATTTCATTCATTTCATTCATTTTGTGCACGTTCATTTCATTCATGTCATCAGTTGTTTCGCTTAAATTCATTTCATTCATGTCGTTCTTTTCATTCATGTCATTCATTTCGTTAATTTCATTCATGTCATTCATTTCAGTCATGTCATTCGTTTCATTCGTTTCAGACGTTTCATACATTTCATTCATTTTGTTCATTTCGTTCAATTCATTCATTTCATTCATTTGATTCGTTTCACTCGTTTCATTCATTTCATTCGCTTCATGCATTTCATTTCGTTCATTTCATTCATGACATTCATGTCGTTCATTTCATTCATGTCATGCGTTTTTTTCATGCGTTTCATTCATTTCACGTCATGTCATGTCATTTGTTTAATTCATCCATCTCATTCATGACGTTCAATTCATTCATTTCATTCATGTCATTCTTTTCATTTCATTTCATTTCATCTAATTTTGTTTCATTTCATTTCATATCATTTATTTCAGTCATTTCATTCGTTTCATTCAATTCATTTGTTTCTTATTCTTTTCATTTCGTTTCATTTCTTTCCATGCGTTTCATTCAGTTCATTCATTTCATTCCTTTTGATTTTTTCGTTTTCATGCATTTCATTCATTTCATTCATTTTATTTGTTTCATTCGTTTCGTTCATGTCATTCATTTCATGCATTTCATGCATTTCATTCATTTCATTCATTTCTTTCATTTCATTTGTTTCATTCATGTCATTGAATTCATCCATTCCGGTCATTTCAGTCGTTTCACTCATTTCATTAATTTCATTCATTTCAGTCATTTCATTCCTTTCAATTGTTTCATTCGTTTCATTCGTTTCATTCATTTGTTTCATTTCATTCCCTGCAATCATTTCATGTGTTTCAATCATTTCCTTCATGTCATTTTTTTCCTTCGTTTCACTCCGTTCATGTGTTTCATTTCACTCATTTCACTCATTTCACTCATTTCAGTCATTTCATTTCTTTCGTTTCGTTCATGTCATTCATGTCATTCATGTCCTTTGTTTCATTCGTTTCATTCGTTTCATTCATTTCATGTGTTTCATTCGTTTCATTCGCTTCATTCGATTCATTCATTGCAGTCACTTCATTCATTTCACTCATTTCAGTCATTTCATATCTTGAATTCATTTCAGTCATGTCGTTCATTTCATTCAGTTCATGCATTTCGTTCGTTGCATTCATTTCGATCATTTCATTCATTTTATTCGTTTTATTTGTTTCATTCGCTTCAGTCAGTTCATTTGTTTCAGTCATTTCATGCATTTGTTTCATTTCATTCCTCTCATTCATTTCAGGCATTTCATTCATTTCAGTCATTTCAGTCATTTCATTCATTTTATTCATTTCAGTCCTTTCAATCATTTCATTCGTTCCATTTATGTCAATCAGTTCATTCATGTCATTCATTTCATTCATGCCATTCGCTTCATTCATTTCATTTCATGTCATTCATATCAATTGTGTCATGTGTGTCGTTGGCTTCATTCTTTTCATTGGTTTCATTCGTTTCATTCATCTCATTCGTTTCATTTGTTTCATTCAGTTCATTCATTTCATGCATTCAAGTCATTTCATTCATTTCAGCCCCTTCATTCACTTCCGCCATTTCATTCAATTCAGACATTTCAGTCACTTCGTTCCTTTCAATCATTTCTCTCATTTCATTCATTTCATTCATTTCACTCGTTTCATTCATGTCATTCATGTCATTTGTTTATTTTGTTTTGTTCGTTTCATTCTTTTCATTGTTTTTTCGTGTCATTCATGCCATTCATGTCATTCATTTCATTCATTTCATTTGTTTCGTTCGTTTCATTGGTTTCATGCTTTTCATTCATATCGTTCATCATTTCATATTTCATTCATTTCGTTCATGTCAATTTGTTCATGTCATTCATTTCATTGGTTTCATTTGTTTCAATCGTTTCAGTCTATTCATTCGTTTCATTTGTTTCATGCATTTGTTTCATTTCATTCCCTTCATTCGTTTCAATCATTTCATTCGTTTAAGTCATTTCGAACATGCCATTTCTTTCATTCATTTCATCCATTTCATTTGTTTCATTTGTTGCATCCGTTTCACTCATTTCATTTGCTTCATTCGGTTCGTTCGTTTATTTGCTTCATTCTTTTCATGCGTTTCATTCACTTCATTCGTTTCAGTCATTTCACTCATTTCATTCATTTCGTTCATTTCATTCATGTCGTTCATGTCATTCATTTCATTCATGTCATTAATTTCATTTGATTCATTCGTTTCACTCAGTTCATTCGCTTCATGCTTTTCATCCATTTCATTCATTGAATTCATTTCATTCATTTCGTTCATTTTATTCATTTTATTCATTGAATTCATGTCATTTGTTTTTTTTGGTTTCGTTCGCTTCATTCTTTTCATTGGTTTCATTCGTTTCATTCATTTCATTTGATTCATTTCGTTCATGCTGTCCATGTCATTTATTGTATTTTTCAGTCGTTTCAGTCATTTCATTCCTTTCATTCAGTTCATTCGTCTCAGTCATTTCAATCATTTCAATTGTTTATTCATTTCCTTTGTTTCATGCATTTCTTTCATGTCATTCAATTGACACATTTCATGCATGTCGTTCATTATTCGTTTCATTCATTTCATTGATTTCATCCATTCCGGTCATTTCAGTCGTTTCACTCATTTCATTCATTTCATTCCTTTCGTTCGTTTCATTCGTTTCGTTCATTTTATTCAATGAACTTTGTTTCATCGGTTTCATGTGTTTCATTCATTTCATTCGTTTCATTCGTTTCATTCAAGCATTCGTGTCGTTAGTTTCATTCATTGCATTCATTCATTTCATTCGCCGGGCTTGGTTTTTGGCCCGCCGGCCGGCCGGCCGGCTGGCTGGCTGCCACGCTGGCTGCCCGCCGGCCGGCTGGCTGGCTGTCTACCACGCTGCCCTGTGTGGTGGGTGGGTGGCTGTCGCTTGGCTTCAGCTTGCCGCCGCGGTGGCTAGCTGGTTGGCTTGGTTTGTGGCCGGCCGACGGGCCAGGCAAAACGGACCACCATAGAGATAAGGGAGCACAGCCAACAAGGCCAAGAACAGCTGGGGGAAGGTCCGTTTTGAAGGATTTGGGCCGCTCACAAGCCAAAACAGACCACCAGAGAGAGAACAGCTGCCGAAACCTGTGTCCAAGGATTTGGGCCCCTGAAGCCAGGAGCACACAGGGAGACCCGTTTCGAAGGATTTGGGTCGCTCAGCGGCCACAAGGGGCAACCCTTAACAACAATAACGCTGCCGACGTCCGTTTTGAAGGATTTCGGCCGCTGGGCAGCGGAAACGGCGCACAAACCCAACAAAAAAAGTACACACCAGCCAGACAAAACAACAACATCCAATCAAAAGTTTGTTTTCCAAAACGATTGGAACACCAGTAACAGCACCAAAGGATTTCCAACGTAAGCTAATTGTTGTTTTTTAACGGGGTCCCAGACTTTGCCTCTACCGACGACAACGACAACAACAACAACAACAACACCAACAACAACACCAACAACAACAACAACAACAACAACAACAACAACAACAACAACCACCACCACCACCACCACAACAACAACAGCAGCAGCAGCAGCAACCAACAACCAGCAACCAACAACCAGCAACCAGCAACCAGCAACCAGCAACCAGCAACACCAACAACAGCAACAGCAGAGCAAGCGGGCGACATTCTGGGCAAGAACAACCCTTGGGTCGCCGGTGTGCGAAGCTCTACAATAATGATTATAATATCATTGCTTCTGGGTTGTTGGTCCCTTAGTTTGGAGGTATCCACCTACCGACCCAGCGGGTCTCGGATATGGGATCGAAGCTGCACACACTGGTCTAACCTGAGCACGAGATCGATGAGAAGACTGGCATCCTTGTAGATCAAGGATCTCATGGATATTCATGGATGGTATCCCCAGTCCAATAATTTTCGCGCATGATGTCTACAAGTATGTCAGTTCTCATGAAGCAGATTTCATTCTGGCTTTGAGGTCCTGGCATTTTGCTCCCATGCCTTGCGAAACCACCAGAGTTTGACATGTGACTCTCGTCATCTGGGCGGCCTATCTCTAAAGGCTGCAGCTGATCTAGGTGGGGACATTTACCAACCCCTGATAAAATCGGTTGACAATCTTTGATGGTTTGTCATGCGCGCTCTTGTTTGCATCATGTTGCGTCCCCCATTTTTCTTGTCGATATCATATCAGTGATATCTTAAAACCTTTTGCAAAAATTAAAGGACAGGATAACCCCACATGTCAACGTCTTCCAATGAGTTGCAAAAGAGAGGTGAGGACGGAATGGGAAGGCAGCAAAGAGAAAGGAGGTGGTGGAGGACAGATCGAGTGAGAGAGTTCTGTGTGAGAAGGTTGTGTGTGAGAAGGTTTATACTATGCATTTGAAAAAGTATGTGTGAGTTCCGAATGCCACGCCTGCCACACAAAATGGGCGTCAATGTCACCAGTCGCCAAGTGCCACACCTGCCACACAAACAGCGACCACGGCGTCAAACGGGAACCAAGCGCAAGCGCCACAAGTGCCACGCCTGCCACAGGAAGGGAAGGTCGATGTCACCAAATGCCACGTCTGAAACACAAAGTGAAGGTCGAACCAAATCCCACGCCTGCCACACAAAATGGACGTCGTTGTCACCAAGTGACACGCCTACCACGCCAAATGACACTGGATGCCGCCAAGTGCCACGCCTATCACACAAACTGCCGCGGCGACCAGGGCGTCAAACGGGAACCAAGCGCGCCAGAGCCAGCCCAGGGCCATAAGTGCCACGCCTGCCACGCCAAATGACACTGGATGTCGCCAAGTGCCACGCCTGCCACACAAACAGCCGCGGAGTTGTGTGTGAGTGAGTTGTGTGTGTGAGGGAGTTGTGTGAGTGAGTTGTGTGTGAGAGAGTTGTGTGTGTGTGAGAGGAGAGAGAGAGAGAGAGAGTTCAGAGAGAGAGAGTTCAGAGAGAGAGTTCAGAGAGAGAGAGTTCAGAGAGAGAGAGTTCAGAGAGAGAGAGTTCAGAGAGAGAGAGTTCAGAGAGAGAGAGTTCAGAGAGAGAGAGAGTTCAGAGAGAGAGAGAGAGAGTTGTGTGCAAGTAAGTTGTGGAGGGAGACGGCGGGAAGCGGAGTGCACAACGAAAAACAAAAACCCCGTACAAAGAGGGGAAATAAAAACACGCCCAGGGCTCCAACTGATGAATTTGCTGCTGCTCCCCGAAGTCTTTCAGGCGCCCAGCACTCTGCTGAAGGAACTTGGCCTGCGCCATGGCCAGCCACTGCCAGCAGCCCTGGGCCCCTGGATTTAGGTGTAGCCCAGATGCAACTGGGCGGATTTCAGCCCACTCCGGGATAACCTCAATGTACCTCAACTTTTGGTATTTGCCAGCATTTACAATTTACAACTCGCAATCTTCACCATGAGTTTCTGCCTCCTTGCCAACTAGCCCCAGCTCGTTGTCCAAGGCTTTCAACTCCCGCGCAATAATGTCAAGCTTGAAAATGTCCAGCTCCTCCAGATGCTGGAAGAGCGATGCTTTTTTCAGCAAGAAACACGAAGGCATTTTACTTATTTTTACAACAAATTTACCTCATCATTATCCCGGCAAGAGACCCCAAACAGTGTGCTTTCGGGAATCAAAGGCAAATTCGGCGGAGTAGAAAGACAAGAGTGGACATCCAGTGATTGGGAATTAAGGGCGTGGTACGGAACAGAATCGCGCAGCTGCAGTTTTTTTTCATAGTGCTTTCGCATCTGTGCTGCGCACACGCAAGCTGTGCCGTGGAAGCGGATAGCAGGGGTACTGCGCTGGAGCCGGGTGGCGGCGTGGCAGAAGGAAAAACTGCGGCCTGCTGCGATGCCGCGGACATTGCGTCAGCTGCTGCGAAGATGCGCAGCAGCTGCTTGCGTCAAGCGGGCGCCAGATTTTGGCTTGGTGCGGTGAACGGTGACCGCGAGCGGCAATCAGGCAAGAGGTGGGAGGTCGCCTGCGCCCAGCGGCTGCGGTATTCTCAGGTGTCTGCTGCAAAGCTTTCTGTTTCGTCATTGGGCAATTTTTGGTGCCGGAAAGGCGACCA